CAGTGTGGTGCTGTGCAGTACAGTGGTGTGCAGGGTGACATGCAATGCAGTGCGGTTCTGCACCATGGGTTGCAGTGCAGTGTGGCGCAGCACCGTGCGGTACGGCGCAGTGCAGTGCAGTGCAGTTTGCTGCGGTGCTCTGTGGCTCTCTGTGGTGGTGCATGGTGCTGTGTGGTGCAGTCCAATGGGACTTGTGCAGTGCTGTGTGGTGCTATGCAGTGTGATGCCATGTGGGTGCAATCCAGTGGGTCTTGTGCAATGCGGTGCTGTGCAGTGCAGTGTTTGTGTCACCATGCAGTGCTCTGTGTCACCATGCAGTGCTCTGTATCACCGTGCAGTGCTCTGTGTCACCGTGCAGTGCTCTGTATCACCGTGCACTGCTCTGTGTCACCATGCAGTGCTGTGTATCACCGTGCAGTGCTCTGTGTCACCATGCAGTGCTCTGTATCACCGTGCAGTGCTCTGTGTCACCATGCAGTGCTCTGTATCACCGTGCAGTGCTCTGTGTCACCATGCAGTGCTCTGTATCACCATGCAGTGCTGTGTATCACCATGCAGTGCTCTGTGTCACCATGCAGTGCTATCACCATGCAGTGTTGTTCACAAGTGCTGCAGTCCGTGCACAAGTGACACATCCATGTGCAACAAGGTCACTTTCTGTGCGTGAAGCAGCCACAAGCCCTGCATGAAGCCCACGTGCATGAGCACCCATGGGTGCACACGGGTACAGCCCAGAGGCCAGGGTGAGGGGCTTGATAGGTGGCCATGGCACCCTGTGTGCACCTAGAGGGGCAAAGGGACGTCACCAAGGGCATGGAGACATCAGTGTCAGAGACTGAGGACCTGAAATGCCACCAGTGTCCCCTGGCAAAGCCCGAACCCTGCTCAGTGCTAATGGATTTGATGTGGGCTCTGCTCTGGGTTTTGCTGCTGGGTTAAACCGGGGCTGGAGCGGGGTGGGGGCGTCTTGGGCAGGGTTTCACCCCGATTTTGGCAGCTCAGCCTGTGCCAGGAGCAAAGCCACCAGGGACTTCCTCTGGGACGAAGCCATCGGGTCGGGCTGGGATGAAAGCGCCGCATTGATCCTGGTAATGAATTGCTTGTTAGTGGCATGGCTCGAGTCAGGCCCGGAGCTGGGATGGAAACCACAGCCCCGATGGGGAGGTGATGGGCAGAGCCGAGCTCTGCGAGGGGAGGGGCAGCTGAACCCAGGATCCTGCATCCCAGAACGCTGTGGGAAAGGGTCCATGGGTGATGTGGGGGAATCACGGCCACGCACAGCAAAGGGCAGCGTGACCCATGGGTGCAGAGTCTTGCCCTTGTGCCCGAGATGGGTGTCATAGAACCACAGACTGGTTTGGGTTGAAAGGAGCTTAAAGCTCCTCCAGCTCCAACCCCTGCCCCGGGCAGGGACACCTTCCACTAGAGCAGGTT